ATTAAGATTGTATTATTTGTTTTTTGGAAAATAAAACAAAATGTCTTTTCTTTCCGATTTTTGTTTTTCTTTGTCGGTGACGTCTGGAGAGAGTACAGGAGCAGGTGTCTGACCATTAATTCCCCTTCAGCCCTCATCTCCAGGCTGCGATTCAAGTGCTGGACCTTACTTGAATCCAGCTTTCTATTTCTGGTAATGCAGGCTGACTTTCAATGGAAATAAGAAACATAAAGGTACAAGCCCTGGAAGACAGTTTTTATGTTTCCTTTCTTATTAAGGAATGACAACAAAACAAAAATGTATTTATTTGACAAATTTAACATAAGAATCAATACAAATGCAGCATAATTTCACTATAACTTAAAAAAACTAATGGATAAGAAGAGTCACGGCTCCTACTCACAGGTCGTGGGTGTGCTATCCTAAAACATGGGGGTGTTTAAAGCTACAGATATTTCAGCCTGTTTTACAGGTGGTTGCGACATCTCTGCAGCGCTGTCTGCATCTCCTGGAAGGAGCTCTGAATGAATTCACACCTTCCTAAGCAGCACTACAGCTCACAGCTAAGAAAGTAAAAGCCTATAAAGATTTTTATAAAGTTTCAAAAAAGCCATGTTGAAAAAAGTCCTTACATTATAAAGTCAGAATTCTGTGCACACGAGTAATAAATACGAGCAGTTTTAAAACACACAAATGTAATCTGCTCTCAATTTACATTTTGAACATATTATGCATACAGGTTCAATACCATGAGGCCCCCCGTGCTTCACAAATAGGAGTGAAGGCTCCATCACTTTGCTCCTGACTTGCTTTTTATGTGCCTGTAGATTCTCTAGAAGTTGCTTATGGACCTGTTTCTTTGCTCACATGTCTGTACTGTTACAAGAGGAAGGATTTCCTGGAAAGTGACCAGCCATGGGCAGTTTACTTTCTCCCTCACCCTCAAAGTGGCACATGTTGATAGAGTGGACAGAAACAGGTCCACAAGTGAACAGGTGCATGGAGAAAAAAAAGAGTGAGAAACCCACTAATGCCCTCATATTCCCATTCAATAACTACATGGATGTGAAAGCCAGTTGGTGTTTGTAGAGGTTTGAAAGTCAACTTCCTGATTCTTTGTGGATAATCTGGCAGCATAGATTGATGAGCCTCTGCTAGCTGACGTAGCTCTGTTTCCATGCTAAACAGAGTATATTTGAAACAAAGCTGAAGTTTTGTGTAAAAGCATTACAAGTTTTAAGAACAAATATAATAATATTGCACACAGCTACAACTCAA